TTGAGCGACGCTATTCTATTCTTTCCTAGTTTAGCATGTAATTGAGCGACGCTATTCTACTCTTTCCTAGTTTAGCATGTAATTGAGCGACGCTACTCTATTCTTTCCTGATTTAGCATGTCATAATTCTATACTATAAGAATTAGGCAAGCTGTCGAGCGGAGGCCATGTTCAAGTTCACCGTAGATAAGCACCAAACCCTTTCCTTTTTTTTTTTTTTTTTTTTTTTTTTTTTGTGGTTGATGACCACCAAAGCCTAAAAAGAGTAAACCGTATTATTCATTTTATTACTCTCCCCGTCAAATAACATGATTTTTCCCGCGCAGGGATAATCAGCGTAATCTCTGCGGCTGCGCGGGAAAAAACGTTCCGCGCTCTTTTCCCGCGCAGGAACAGTCAGCATGATCAATCTCTGCGCCTGCGCGGGAAAAAAAGTTCCGCGCTCTCTTCCCGCGCAGGAACAGGCGTACGCGTCCTCATCATCATCATCATGACACTCATCATGGATAGATCACGGAGATTGATTGTTTGATTGATTGATCGGAAACATCCATAACATGCCTAAGCGCTCTAATCGGGAAAGGACGGTTGTACCTCTTCATTCGTCATCCTCAGTCGGCGCAATCAATCAATCAATCAATCAATCAATCAATCAAGTAATCAATCAAGTAATCAATCAAGTACTCAATCGAGTAATCAATCGAGTAAATCAATCGAGTAATGAATCAGTCAATCAATTAATTGATCCTGTTATTCATTTAAAAATCAATCAATCCGTCAATCATCAAGTCAGTCCGTCAATCAATCAGTCAGTCAATCAATCAATCAATCAATCATTCAATCAATCAATTGGTCAATCTATGAACGGTTAGCCACCATTCTCTGCGCGTGAAAAGAACGCGTAGAACCAAATCAATCAATCAATCAATCAATCGTCATGATTGGATTACAGACGGACCTCTGTCAAGCAGAGCTGTAATAATGCCTACGCGTTCTAATCGGGGAAAAGACAATAGTGCCTCTTCATTCATCCTGCCTAATGACTGCAATGCAATCATCATTCAACCAATCTATCAATATCGCAATCAATCAATATCTCAATCAATCAATTCATTAATCAATTCATCAATCAATCAACCCATCAATCAATCAATCATTTTAACCAATCCAACAAGGAATTATAATAATAGTCGATAAATCCATCAGTCGATTGAATAGCCCACTACATAGTCATCTCCCATCATACATACTGATAGTTAGGGTTTAGGGTTTAGGTTCCTAAATTCATCCGGCCGCAGCTATGACCAGATGCAACTCCAGAAAGTTGTGCTGTGAGTCGTTGATTCAATCTTAGACACGCTAATTACCTTGGATGCGTGCCATTCGGCTCTGATTCGGTTTTTTTTTTTTTTTTTTTTTTTTTTTTTTAATGATGATGAGGAGAAACACACGCTAGAAGGGAATGG